GAAGTCCGCAAATCAGTCTCATTTGTGTGTGTGTGTGTTGTGTTGTGTTGTGTTGTGTTGTAATTCATTCCTATATTAAAATAAAATGAAATTAATTCAAACTTGTCCATGTTAACAATCAACAGTCTCTGCATGGAAATGACTGCAATAATTATCTCGTGGCCACGCATTATTTATTTTTTTTATCCAATGTCACCAGGGGGGCTCCGTAGTGAAGGCATTCATCATATTGAATCATTAACAACAAGAATGCATGGAAATGTAACGTGTAAACATCCTGATTGAATTACTGTCATAATAAGGTTAAAGGCAATCAAAGGATTACAATGAGCATGCAAATGTGATTACCGCTGTTAGTGAAACAAAGTGCAGGGAAGGGACTGTGAAAACATGATATCAATATCAGTAAGTTAATAAATGATGCAGTTATTAACCCGGTGTGGGGTCATTAACTCTTACAATGATGTTTTGCAAAACAGGTGATTTCTCTGTGTTCACTGTAGCAAGACAAAGCAATTAACTCAAAGCATGTAGGAACATATGATTATATTACCTCAGCCCATTAACATGGTGTTATTTTGAAACCTGTTTTGCAATAAATAGCCACTGCCACTTTGTTACAATTGAATTTTTGCAATCTTATAAACTCGCATGCCTCCTCTCAACATCTAGACACTATACATTTATCATTGCAAGCACTCATTTATCATTGTTGGAACCTATGCTCGACCAGCTGACTGGCCAGTCTTCTCCACACTAAAGAAAAATTCAATGATACATTGTTATCACAGGCAATTGTATATGCTTCCTATTTGTGTTCTCATATCTCTAAAAGGCTTCTTCAACTCCTTTCTTTTTTACCGTTCACTGTTGCCAGATGGGGTTACTGCTCGCTCTTTATAAAACTTGCTGCTAAACAAAGTAAAGAAAAAGCTGCTCTCTCAACCTATTTTGTAGTTCATCTCCAGGTACGCAGTTATATTTAATAAACAATACATTTTTCAAGACGAAGTACTTTGTTAAATCTACACACTGTCACCCACAGACGGAGTGGAAAATCAAACCTCCTAACCCTTACTGAACTGCTGGATGTTCAGTCATTACAAACTCATGCTGCACAGCAAAACTTACCAACCAATAGAACCTAAACTCTTAAATTCTACTGGAAATCCCAAAGTTTAAACATACCAGTAATGAAAAGCTGAAGTTTAGGGAAACATGTATAAAATGATTTACAAAAAGACAAACAAAATAGCTAAAAGTATTGTATTTTATGTATTTTGAATATTTACTCAGTGTAAACACTATACTGTATACTACAAGCTTATATGAAGAGATGGAGCACAATGATACAGAATGTATATGATACTGTCAGACAGTGTTGAATACCAGGATATTTCTAACCATAGAGCTACTTAAGGGGAAAATAAAAAGGAGAACTGGATGTTTAGGGGTTAACAAACAAGTCGTCCAACTGACACACACTGCAACACTTCAGTTGGTCCAGTCTGTTTCATTTCATAAGAGCTGTGGCAGTGCACAGTTGTGGATAAAAGGTGGGTGTCCCCAGTACTAGTGTAGTACTCTTAATGTTTCTGTTCATCAGACAGTGAAACAACTAATGCCAGTTATGTTTCATATTGCAATTTGGTGGAATAAAGGCTAAATAGTCTAAATGGCCTAAACCTAATCAAACATTGATTTGTTTTGAAAAGACATGACAAATGATCAATTTCGTTCGTACGTTGGTGGACAAACTTCTGCACGATCCACTCCTACACTCCTCAGTGTATAAAGCTCACTTTATAAAACACAATGTGGTAACGTGTATGACAATATATGCACTATACTTCACATTTGTAATGATTTTCCATTGAATTATTACTGAATGTCCTTTTTTAATATAAAATACTATTTGAAACAGAACTTTTACATTGAATAAAAAACCCAAACATATTCCTGTGTGAGACTGCCTATCTTAAGCAACTTAAATTAAGCAGGTACATATCTAAAAAAAAAAAAAAAAGAAAAGTGAGATTAAACCTGACCCTTTGACCTTGCTGATTTTATATTGTAAAATCAGAATCAGAGAACAAGACAATGAGCCTGTTCAGTGGCTCACTATAGATGGGTAATGTATATTGTATGAGACAGTTCCCCTTGTATGTTTCAGTCTGTGTTATGAACGCAAGCTGCCCTCCTCCGGGGATAACTCCCCCATGCTGCTGCTGTTGACAGAAACATGCTCAAATCTAACCTGCAAAGTTAAATAGAATTATGATGAATACCTGTACAATGTCTCGCTCAGCAAGGCGTCCTCTGGAGGACACTCTCACCTCATCTCCATCCAGCTCCTCCATGGCTAAAAGGATAGAAAGCGACAGAGAGAGTATGACTCAATACTGGAACCACCGAGGGAGAATATAAAGAAGGTACAGGATGTTCTTCTGTATTTAACGTAACGTGATTGCTGATGTGGAACAAAGGATGGGGAGTAAGAACAGGTATTCAGTGGAGAATGATTACAATGGTAGGAAAAAATGTCATTGCTTGTGCAAAAATTATGCACAATTACATCACAGGTCAGAAAATCTAAATAAATCCACTCATGGGGAAAGCTTACAGGAACACTTTCAGCTAGCCATGATCAACTATAGCCAAATTGTTCTATGATGGAGATCCAGAGTCATTCTCAGAGGTCTTCTAAAACAGAACCTGCACAAGAGTGTGTATCCTGCATCTGGCAAAAGCGCAAAATAGCCGGGATGTGTGGTGCTGCCATGGAAAGGTGGCAGAACATAACGTTCAGGTCAAATCTGCAGACAGACTCACAAGGAACCAGAAAATATTAGAGGACAAACACCAGAACTGAATAACACGGATAACACTAAAAGTGCCATGCTACGATCTTAAACACATGTTCAAAAATGGGGTGCCCATACTCAAGATGGAGCAAATAACAAAAAGAGGCAATTAGCCCTGGCAATAAAGTGTACACACACAGACAATATGGGCTGCTATTGAGCCAGTATGACCTTGTGAACTCCCCCCCCCCCCCCCCCGACCCCGACATGCCTGACTGCCTTTGCTACCAATCCCACCATTGGATTGCTTAAACAAGTAGAAAATGATAGGCCATCCAACACAATAATGATGGATATGTCGTCACACCCTGCTGAGCAGTAACAGACTGCACACACACACAAACAGAGTCCCCATTGCAAATTCATTGATCTGTGGGCTGTAGGACACCTGCATGCTTGACTCCATTGACTTTCTGTAGCACCTCTCCCAGGAAGGGGAAAAGTGTACTGGTGTATAAAAACACCAATTATGATACAGCTGCTATATTGTTTCCTGTTTGCTCACAAGAGTCCCATCAAGTCAGGGAAAAGTCAAGGCCAAAGTCAAAAGCACCCTTTTATATAAAACATCACATATTTGTGTCTTAGCACTGTCAAGGTTGTTGAATGTAATTACAGTGGCTTACATTTCAAATATATTCAGTGCACGTTGCTTCCCATAGCTGCTGCTGTGTGTGGTCTCCTATCACATTCTGCTCAGCTATATGCCTAATTGAAAGGTACGCTGCAGAGAGTTAGTTCAATGTCTGGATGAGCAGGTCCCCATACGGTTTATGAGGTAGTAAACACATTCAACCTTTTTGTAGGGATACATGTGACGTGTTTTGCTGAGAAACATCAAATGCAGCGTAGGGAACACTGGGATTTCACAATTTCAGAACTTTCATAGGTGAAGTGTTGCTGGAGCGCACTGGATCGAAACCTTGCCACGTTTTTTCTTCAAGTGAGGAATTAGAATACTCAGTTTGTATAAACTGGTTGAAATTCATATACATTTTATCCAAGAGAGCAAGGGATCAATAAAAACAATTGTGATTATATAATACAATACAAAACAAAACATTTAGCTGATACGAATCGGAATCTTTTTTAACATTATAGATGCAACTACATCACTCGTAAATGCCCCATGAGCCGGTCTAATTCTAAAGTTATGAATCAGTTGACTGAAGCTTTGCTGCTAACAGCATTTCCACTCGCAAAAGGTTAACAGTCAACACGAGAGTCTTGTGAAAAAGAGCGACGGGAGTAACATTAGCACAGCATGGCTAGTGTGGTCAGTACATAAACAAACATGTCTGACAACACTGACGTGATTTATAGTGCAACATAAAATCAAAAATCTGAAGTTTGGAAGACATTTGGATTCTGCAAGAAGAAAGGAACATTGGACAGAAGTCTAGCCATTTGTAAGATCTTAGCCTGCACAAATCTCTCACACGCATACACCATGACCACGACCTAAATGCAACCACACACAGTGGAGAGGAGCTTCAAAGATCCCGCTTCACATCATGTTTTCTTTGTCTCCAAGATGTGTGTCCATGCGGGTGTATGCTGAACATACAGTCAGATCAAACACTCTTAGACACTCTTACTTTTCGGTGCTCACCCAGACACATACATACCTTTTAGTACATGTAGTTAGGATACGTTGTGTGTTTTGTCTGCCAGCTGCAGCACTGTCACTCAATACTGGACCAATTTCAAAAATTACTTTCCCCATTACTCACTTAGACAATAGGGTCTGGGTTGACAAATACTAAAGTTTCCATTAAATTCAGGTTTAAAATAGTTCAATGGAAAGATAATACTAATATTGTAATTGTCCCTGACTGCAGCTGCATGCTTCTGGCAAGAATCATGCAATCATTTTCTTCCCTCATACCCGCATACAGGTGATCTGATTATGAAGATGTATTGTCATTTAAGTTGCCATCAAAAAATAGTGTGTTTGTTTACTCCTGGTGTGTTATTCTCATTAAGATGGCTAATGATGACAGAAGAGAGGAAAGTTGCACTCAATGACAAAAAGTCCCTTTATATACAGAAGATAAAAAAAGTTTTTGGTAAATGGACTTTCGTTTTAAAATGTTTAAAAAACAAGCTGTATTTTCAGGTCGTATTTTCCTTTTCTGTTTTCATTTTCAAAACAAAAAAGGTGTCATTCCCAATTTTTGTTTTCTCATTTCAAATGAAAATCCGTTGGCTGCAAAGTACACTGACCATCCAGCCTTCATCAGTGTCACAGTCATGCAGCAGAGATAGCTCTTAAATAACAAACACACAGCTGATCCACTTCAAGGTGATTGGCACTGCACCTGCTAAGGCAATCAGCCACATTAACAATCAGTGAGCATCCAACATTGGAACAAGGAAGAAGGTGGAAACTAGGTTATCACAAAAGCTGTGAGCACTAACTCAGATGTCTGCACATATCAGATGTTAATACATTTTAATCATAAATGTAGTCAACAAGAAAGACGCAAATTTATTAGGATTCTTTTCGTGATTATCACACTGAAAAAGAATAAAAAAATCCTGTCATTGATAACATGCAATACAAATAGTATAATACAACATGAGGGATATTTAATAGAGGTCTCTTTAATGTACCCCCTATGTATTGTATATATGTATTGTATTGTCAGGTAAGCCTGGGAACCGCAGATTTTAACTCACTGCACAAAACCTCTCTAATACATGTAAGTTGACATAATATGTTGTAGAATTTTTCTGTCATTCACTCGTGTGGTTATGTATCAACATTTATATGCACTGTTGTTAGCAGCAGCACAACATGTGAAAGCAAAGAAGACTGTAAAGTTTTCCTAAGTATTCAAGTTTTGTACCCTTGGTAAGTGATAGGTAGAGGTACTTTATGTCATTTGTTTTACTCCAATAAAACCTTCAAAGTACTTGTAATAACTAATACTTGTTTATTAGAAATGCAAAGGCTTACAATGTGTCCATGCAGTATTATATAAGGTTACTGTGTCATATTCTCTAGTATCAGAAAAAAGTGTGAAAATTTATATATAAAATATAAAATTTTATATATAAAGTGTGTTTTATTATTTTGAGCTGCTTAATAAGTAATTTCTTGGGTAGTGTATACATGTGTACATGCAAATGTTGCACTGTAACGTTTAGAGTATTTGTGTACAGCTGTGTGTTTGGTGAAACGTTTAATAAGCTGCAATTTTGTTGTTCGTTTTTACTTTTCATGACCCTGCTGTCTGACCTATAGTGTACCTGTGACCCTCCTCTCCTCAGTGATGTTTACTCATGTTGGCATGAAAAATTAGAGACCTATTGCTAAAATGAAACACTCACCATCAAATTCAGCTGGTCCAACACCCACGATAATTATGGAAAGGGGGAGTGATGCTGCCTACA